CATGTATGAGGTGAGGACTCAGGATTGCTTATAAATTCTACAGAATAAAACATTTCAGGAGAAACTCCTGTGAGTGTCATTGTCCCCTTCTCCCCTCACCTTGCCCTGGGCTAAGGAGGATCAGTTGGTTACTCCCAACATTTTCCTTTCCCTCACTGGAAATCCAAGTAATTTATAAGGGCCCAATCCTTTTTTAATCAAAACAGAGCATCTGGAGGGATTTACAAACAGGAAGAAAATTTATGTCCACAAAAGACACAAGTTTCCTGCCTGCAGTATAGCTTAAGGATGGTTTGTGTCATACAAGTAGGAATCTTGATTCATGTTTAACTCAGTTAAATTATCTCTCTCTTAAAATTAAATAGCAGTTCTTCACAGAGGAAGATCTAACCACATCTGATTGCCTGACCAAAAGGTTTTTCTATGTCATCTGGGAAATCTGCCATTCCCAGAGACCAGGAGGCAATTACTTTTTCATACGGAGATGTAGCTAGAAGGTGGAGTAAATCTATAAAGCTCTTGTGAGCAATGGAATTGAAAAGCCATTTGTGTCATAACAAATAGAGAAATTAATGATTTGAGATTGTTTGGCTGTTCCATCTCTTTACCTGAAAAATAATACAGAGCTTTGCCTCACAGACCAACAAAAAAACACACATCATACCTCTGATCTGAATCACTATTTGTGTCCCTGAGAAAATCCTAGGCCTAATGTCCTTCCTGAGAGTACCTTGCGCATATAAACCTCTCTAGGAGCAGGTTGTCATCCTGGACCTCAGGCTGTGAGGGATACAGGCACTCCACAGGAGTCAGGGACAAGGCAGGTCTCCAAGATGTCCCCTTAGGCCATACTCTAAAAAGCATGGGGGGAAAAGAGAATGACGGTGGGACCAAGAAAGGGCATGTGACTCACTCAGGTGCCCAGAGCAGTGCACACAGTCTGGCAGCTTAGTGAGCTAGGCTCAGGGGAAGAGCCACATTAGCAAGCTGCCAGCACTGGCCAGGTATCCCTCCTACTTGGACATCAGCACTGCTCCATGTCCCTCCCTTTTTTGAAATGCCCCTGTGCCATTGAGCCTTGACTCTTTGAAATTTCTCATGATCGATCTAATGACCATTTTAACGCAGATACTTGCGGAATGGTGGTGGTCAGCAAGCCGAGCAAGTCTCTCCATAAAAAGAAGGAATGAGAATTTTCATCAGTGATACTGGCCCATTTACATAGCATGCTAGCTTTCCTGGTAAATGTATATGAATCTGTAAATGAAAAACTGAAAATACTGTTTACTTACTTTCAGAGATTTAAATTATAATAACCTTGATGAATTCCCCACTGCAATCAGGACACTCTCCAACCTTAAAGAACTGTAAGTATTTAGGACAAGTTTAATGGGAGAATCTATTCTTGGTGAATTTATTTTAAAATAATGTGACTTATTAGAAAAAAAATTTCAATTCATATAAGTAACAGTTAAGTACACTTGAAATATACTTTAGTTGATTCTATCACCAGCCAACATCAGATCATCTTTTTAAATTTATAATGGATTTCTCTAATATATGAATATTAGAAAAAATATGCATATTTCTCTAAGACATACTTCTTTCCTAACACGTATTTTCCCAATATTTATATACTTTATAGATTTGTACAGAACTGTAATGTAATTCAGTTATTTGCTGAGCATTTTGAAGAACATTTCTAGGCTGCATAGACTTATAGAATAAAATGGGTGTACCAGTACAGTGCTAGATGCTTTCACATGCATTAATTCGCATTCTTTAAATACTTATGAATCTTATTTAATTTAAAGAACCCACAATTTTACTAAAATAGAGCTAACCTTCAGCTATTAGGTTGCATATATTTTCTTTCGCATACTATAGTTACTCATTTTATCTAAAAATAACCTATGTAAGCAATGTTCTAACACTTGGAAAGGAAAATAAGCATAGAGCCTATTTTCCTGGCAGAGAGAAATGAGACACACAGCAAAAGGAGGTAGACAGCGGGGCTTGTGTATTAAAAAAAAAAAAAAAAAAAAAAAATTTAGGAGGTTCTGCCTCAGAAAAGCCGGCTTGCGGCTAACTGGGAAGTCACCGTTGTCTATGGCCTCCTCTCACCCAGCCACAGGCCCACACAGGACCCACAGGCCTTTGACTGTGCCCCTCTGCCATTCAGACAACAGCACTGACAGAGGAGAGTCAATGTATTACAGACTCACTGAGCACCTTCCTTCAGCTCAGGAAATCTTGTCCTCAGAAGGAGATTACTTAAATCGATACTTTACTGCAGCTGAAGTCAGTTTTCTCTTCTCCTAATTCAAATGGGGGCGGGAAGGTGATCATAACTGAAGATGGTTCCCTCTGTCTCAAGTTGTCACAATGGTGCTCTATCAGATAGTAACAGATGAATTTTCTTTATATAACATTAGATTGTAAGTTTCCATAAAACACAATTATTATTTTCAGGTTCTTTATTTCTCTTTCAAGATGACAGCCTGTGATTTCTTTTCCTTCTAGAGAGTAAGGGAGGGAGGGCACATAAGTTTCAAAATGCTTAGAGGAATTTCACCTGAGCCTCCAGTTACTCAAGGTGCTGGTTATTGCCACGGGGGGAGGGCGGAGGACTGTTAAATAATTTTACCCCGCACATGATTTTCTATAAATTGTTTCTTGTTCTCTTTCTAGAGGATTTCACAGCAACAATATCAAGTCGATACCTGAGAAGGCATTCGTAGGCAACCCTTCTCTTATTACAATGTAAGTGGTTGTAGTTCTTTTTGATTTTTCCATCCTGAAATAGAGCATGTGTTGCTCCTTTAAATATAACACAATGAATGTTCTATACGTGCCCAAGGTCTTTCTCAGTCAATGTAAGACTCTATATAGAGAGGTATTGAGAGAGATGTTTTGCCAGGTTTTAGCTGAATGCTGAAATAATAGAAAAGATTCTTTTTTCTCTAGGGCCTTCGATACGCACTGCATTGTGCTTCGTATCTTCAGATGCCTTGTCTCACTTCACAGTGATCTTAGGAAATGCTTTGCTTCTCTCTATTTTCTAAGGAATAAAACTGATTTTTTAAAGTATCAATGTCAGGGTCACCTAGTCATTCAAAACATGAACCCAAGTATACTAGAAATATAAATTATTACATACAAATAGGAGTCCTTTACAATAGCCTCCGGCCTGAGTTGGTGGCAGGGAATGGGAATACTGTTTAATGCTGTCTGTATATCCATTCATTGTCAAGCCCACGCACTGAGTCGCACTTAATACGATTACAAGCTACGTTGTAATTCCAGAAATAAGTATATGTTCTAGAAAGGTGTATGTGAGGATTTAGGTACCATGAAAGCACAAAACCGACTTACAACTATAATGTATAATTAATTCTATGTTTCACATTTAGCACAGACGTAAGATTGATCATATGTAGATATATAGGAAGGTGAAAATATGTTAGTATTAGGCTGGCTCTTAGTTAAAAGACACCTGGCAGGTTTGGGACATAGGATTGGACTGAGGTCATGGGTGAGAGGTCTTGAATTTGGAGGAACAGAATAGGACAGCTGTTGAACATGACTCTAGGGGCACTTCTTGGCAGATATCCATCCTGTGCCAACTTGACTGAGAGGCTTTCTGGGACTGTGTAGCATTTGTCACAAATGACCTGGAGTCCCAGTTAGACCTGACAACTAAAAAAAATAATAATAATACATTCATCATTCCTGAAATGTTCTGACAGTATGTTGGAAAACTAAGGGTTTTAAAGTTTATTGCCAGTAAACATTAGTCCTCATTAGAGAATATTTACGTAGTAAGAGGTTGGCAAGTTGCATTGCCTTTGCTGCTTTTTCCCAGCAGCTGCAGGACTGGGGTTTTTTTAATCACTCTTTTGACATGCTAATACCGCTTAAGGAGCACTGACAGCCCCCCAAATTATTAGTGCTCCTATCCAATATTTGATGTTGACTAAATTCCCTGAAATTCTCCTTTTCTTGCTTCTGCCTTTGTTTCCGTCTCTTGTCATTGCCACCCCCATCCATGCCCCCTCCCCGATTCCCACTTTCTGTGAAGGCAAAGGCTACCCAGGCCTCATTTCTACCTCTCTGGTCCCCATCCTAAGCCTAACCTCTCATCCCAGCTGCCATCAACCTCTCTGCCAGCCATTACCTCTAGATCTTTATCAGTCTAAGGCTCATCTCCTTGCCTCCACCACTGGCAGGGTCATCTCTCTTAAAACACAGCATCCATATTGTTACCCTCTTGCTGTGAAACTTACAGAGACTCAGGATTGTCTATTTACATTAAGTGCACACTCCTTACCCTGACTTTCACAGCCTTCCATGTGGCCCAAACCAATCCTCCTGGCCAGCTCCCCAAAGCTCTACTCAAATACCCTACACATGACCCAGACAAACTAAGCTAAATTCACAGAATGAATCTTTCCTTATTTCCTTTGCTCCTATGGTTCTGTCCCCTCACTATGCATATTGAAATTTTGTTTTCCAGGGTCCATTTCAAATGACATTTCAATGAAGTTTTTCCTAATGAGGGAACTCCCTTCTGAGATCCCTATAGCTCCTTATTTGTATTTGTGATACTTCTGCCTTATGTATACAAGTGTGTATGTCATATCTGCCCGGTGTACATACATATGAACATATAAGCATATAGTGTAGATAAAGGACAATGTAATATTATGAGGAAAATTCCATTTTTTTAACCCTAAAAGCTATATTTCAGCTCTAGCTCTTTCTCTTACAGATTATTAAATCCAAGGGGAAAAAAGAGGTCAGAAGGTAGAAGTACAGAAGGGGCCTTAGATTTGTTAGGTGACAACTCTATTCCAGGCACTGTGCAGGGTGTTATGCCTGCATTAGCTCTGTCACTGCACACACAAACCCTACAACTAAGTGGTATTTTCTCAGTTTAACAAATTAGAAAATTGAAGCTCTGGGAAGTCATGAACTTGCCAAAGTATCTGACTTTCAGTTTCTTCCTCCAGAAATAAGGAAAATCCTATTAATAAGTGTCTACACTATGGTCTTATTAAGTTGTTGGGTAGATCAGTTGAAAACGCTTTGTCAGCTAGAAAGTGAAATAATCTTATTTATTTGTTTTATCCCAATTTATTCCAAGTTTCTTTAGGGCAAGGACATGTTATTATTCTTCAAACTCCCAGCATGTAGCATAATGCCAGATGCTTGGTAGCTGCCCAACGACAGCCTCCTTAATGGATCAGCCTCTCAAGCCTTGCAGTATCTACCCTCATACTTTGAGCATAGTAGACACCAATACGTATTTTTTGAATTTCATTGAACTGGAAAGATGTCTCCTCTCAGAACTATTTCTAGGACCCCATTCACCAGGCAGTGCAAATACCATTACATTGAAAACATCCGTACAACAAAATATTTTAAGTTCTAATAATGTCTCACCTTTTAGAACAATAATTAATTCCAAAAAATTCTGACATTATAAAAAAATCCAGAATAGCTCATTTTCTCTCAAATAATTTGAGTTCCTTTTGTGTGTTATGATAAGATGTGATCAGAGGATACAGTTTTCATGTAGCTACGTAGAGCTTCACCTTTCTTTAATTAATGATATGCTTGCCAGCACCTTGAATTACCTTCTTGCCATTCAATGGATAGTGCACAGATGTTGGAGGCAGAGGAAGATTTTTAAGTAATGTCGACAATCAGTTCACATGCCTTTCTCCTCAGTAACTATCACTCATATCTGCCTTGCTGTCAGAAATTTCCAACTTTATATAGTATAGATTTCTTACCAAAAGTCTAGTAATATGAGATAAAACACTTTTGAGGTTTGCCTGAAACCACATAATCAGGAATGTTATGTAATGTGGTATAATCAAAATTACATTGATACATTTAATGTACTCGTTGAAAGTTTGAACAAGAATTCATTTGCCATTCAAGTTTTATACTAAGACATTGGTGTTTGGATTTTTTTCAGACATTTCTATGACAACCCTATCCAGCTTGTTGGAAGATCCGCTTTTCAACATCTACCTGAACTGAGAACACTGTGAGTTTTTCTCTTACATATCACTTTCCACTTGTAGGGTTTCTGTAAAACCAAACGAGTATTATAAGTTGGGTGCTTTGAAAATGGGAATAAAAATTACCCCTTTCTAGAATCTTCTCGCAATAATACTCATGTACCCTTCTTTCTAGGACTTTGAATGGTGCCTCACAGATCACTGAGTTTCCTGATTTAACTGGAACTGCGAGCCTGGAGAGTCTGTAAGTGCTTAAGAAGGCCCTTGACTTTGACCAGAACAGAGGCTGCTTTTAAAGCCTGATCAGTCTGAATGTCAGTGAATCAGTGTCACTGTGTGAAGCCTGAATAAAAGAATTATGTTTGGTTTGTGTTTCAACAGGACTTTAACTGGAGCACAGATCTCATCTCTTCCTCGAACTGTGTGTGATCAGTTACCTAATCTCCAAATGCTGTGCGTATCAGTAAGGCAATAATGTTGTGTAAACAGGCAGCTTCCATTTAGGGGTGAAGTGGCAGACATTATTTCAGTGATCCTTTAAAAGGGGAGAAAGTTCCTTCCTCACAGGTCTCCAGAAGGTCAGGCCTCCTTTCCCGCTTTGGGCCGGGGAAGCAGGCCTCTGCTAGGAGCCTGCTAATGATGGCAGCGCACCCTTCGTCTCCGCACCCCAAACGGTCTCCCCTTAGAGTTCCAACTGGAGCACATTTCCTTCCAGAAATGGATATGAACAAGCCCAAATAAATTCATTTCCCCCTCTAAAGGCTTTGCAGAGCAGGGAAAAAAAAAATAGATTAAAAACCCACATGGATGCCAAAATAAAAAATTAAGCTATCGAATGCACTCAAACCTTGATAAAGGCAACCAAACATCCTTCAGGTGTAGTTGTGGATGCCATGTTCTGATGTTTCATCTGATGGTTAAACTGTTTGCATATGTTATTTCTGTTGGCTTGGAGCTTTTTTTCTCTGCCTCTTAGGTTGTATAAAGAGTAGTTTAGAGGAACCTGAAGAGCTTTGTTTTGACCTTCCATTTTCAGCCCTCTCCCTCAACTCCCACTCCAGCCTATTGTCATCCCCTCAACATTGTTGGGACTTAATGAAAGGGCCCCGTCTTTTGCCATGGCCCTGCTCTCTCATAGTAGCCATCTGCGGCTGCCGGTGAATGCCTGTGATCCCACTAGGCTTTACCTATCAGCAGAACTACGAGCAGCACTACAGATGTTAAGTGGAAGAATGGGACCGTCAGCCGTGGTGGCTCTGCCTTCCCCTTTGCAGCCGGCTGTGGCGCCTGGGACCTCAGTTGCTCAGTGACATGGGGTTGCAGTAACCCCTAGTGATGGCCTTGGAGTCAGGCATTCGTGTTTGAAGGAAAGGGGCAGAGCTAGTCTCCGCTTCTTCACCCCACATTGCCCCAGGGGGTGCAGGTCAGATGAGAAACCTGAGAATTAGGGACGTTAAGTGCATTTGTCAAAGTCACACTGCAAGAAAGCAGCAGAGTCCAAATTTTAAATACAAGCAGTTTGATTGAATGACGAGGCAAAAGTGTATGTACTTTTGTGTATGTACAGCAGGTGGTGGAAATCTTGGGACCATCTTAGAATTGTGCCTACCACGCCCAGAATAGGTATAATTATCCTATTTCTTGAGGAAACTGGCTCAATAATATGACTAGGATTTCACATCCTGTAATTAATAAGTAGGGAGCCAGTATTTAAATTGCATCTGTCTCCACTATGCCACACAGTAAATGGCAAGCCACCCAGGTCTAGAACTGCATAAATGGTGGCTGACTGACAAATTGGTTACTGACAGAGGCTCTGGGGTGTGTTTTTCTGGTTCAAGTCCAGCCTCTCTATATACCAGTACAGTATCTTGAGCAAGTTATTAATTCCTTCTCGGTTCTGTTTCCCAGTCTATAAAACAGCGGTGTAATTATTTCCATGAGGATCATCATGAGGATTAAATGAGTTACTACATGTCAAATAGCACTGGGAACACTGTAAACTCTCAGGCAGCGTTAATTCGTCATCTTGTTTCTCACTTCCTTTGCACCATTGCTCTTTCCTCAAGTTGAAACTAGCAAGGCCTGAGAAAACACAAATACATGAATGGCAGTATCTTGCCATTTTCAAAGCACTTCAAACCTACAATATTGATGTGTCCTTCACAACAACTCTGCAAGATCAGCAAAGCAGGTGTCTTCTCATTTAAGGAGAGAACTGAGAAAGGTGTCAGTGCTTTGGCCAGTGTGTCACCAAGTAGAATGAGTTGAAGTTGAGACTAGAACTCACGGTCTGACCTCTACTACAGTCTACGTTAGGTTCTGGAAGTAGAGGTCTGACAGCTTCCCTCTTAGGCCGAATCATCCACTGGGACCTTGTTACGTGAGGAAATTTCACTGTACATGAGTGTTTTCACCCCCAGGTTACTTCACCTCCATGGGAATTACTTGGCTGTGTGTGGTTGTCCCCAATTACTAGCTAGTGATCTTAGGCAAGTCACTTCACATTGAATGGGGATAATCACAGTGTCTCCCTCATAGAGTGACCACAAGGATTAAATGAAATAGTTCAGGTAAAGCTATAAACATGGTATCTATATATAAGAAGTGCTTGATCAGTGTTAAGCATGAAAATCATTAGGTGGAAGTTAGGTAGGAGGTGATACTGTGTCTCTATGTAGAAGAAGGTTTTACATACCCTCTACTAAGAGGTACATAGGAAGGATTTGTCCCCTTGAAATCTGTGGAGATGAGTGAACCAGATTATTATCAGCTCTGATAAGATGTGTGTCCATTTTATTTCACTCACTTTTCAAAATTGCATATCATATTGTTAATCAGGTATATTTATATGTAGGTGGGAGATACGGTTTTGTTATTTTGTTTTTTATTTGGTTTGGTCTTTGAAACCTCTAATATAAACTACAAATTTTTGTTTGCAAACAGCTTTGCCTGAACTATTTATGTGTAGTAAATGAATTATATTTCTATAAAAATTCCATTTATTCAATAAATGTAGGATAAAATGATCAATTAAAGAATAAAATAACATAAAAGCCTCTTAGAAAACAGTATTGATTCTTTTAGTTGCATAGCAGTGATCTGGTTTTAAGAATTAAAATCAGGCATGAAAACGTGTTGATTAGCTGATAACTTCTAAAATATGAAACAAGATTTTTTTACATATATATCTATGTTACTTTATCTACCAGCTTTCTTTTTTAAGCTTTCTGCAAATTACCATGGCTTGTTTTAGATTAGTTATATTTTACTCTAAGTATATCCAGATGGTTTTGTTATTCTGTAATTTGTTGAGTTTTGGCTGAAGACTTTCTTAGATTTCCACCCCCTGCCCTTCCCATAGTGATTGATTTCAAAGTTAATGCTATGTTTTGAATTGTTGTTGGGGTTTTATTTTAGTTAATTAGAAAAGAACTAACAGTGATTCTTTTAGCTGTAGAAATATAGCAGCTCTTAGAAATAAAGGCACAGTTATTTCATTTGATTTGTACTCATTTCAGTAAGATAATAGCTAGACCATTGTAGATCATCACTAACAAAATATAAATAAATTTATTAGGTAAATTATTTAAATCAATTAAAGAAGTATAACAGTTACATTTTCGTAAACATTTGAATCTTCTGCTTAATCCAATAATACTGGTGACTACCTGCTCCGTGTCAGGCTGGAGAAATGTTCAGTGTCGGCCTTTGGCAGATCTATCATCTTGGAGGGGAAAGGGAAGCAGAGCATGTTTCCTTACGATTAATACATAACAGATTTTCCCTTTTGTGCCTTCTGTTTTTCAGAGACCTATCTTACAACCTGCTGGAAGATTTACCCAGTTTTTCAGTCTGCCAAAAGCTTCAGAAAATGTACGTCTATAGAGTCTCTAAGTCACCTAGCAAAAAATAAGATCCTAAACTCACATTTCCAGGGGTCACTGATTTCATTACCCTGCGGTTCACAGGGGAGACATTTGATGTGTTCCCTTCTTACACACACGCATATGACTGCGTAGAGTGGCTGCGAAGCTGGGAAATATTGATAATACTATTTACCATGCATTGTACGATAACTAAACCACCTATTCTTTTACTTTTCTTTTTTTCCCTGACCTTGGTGTAATAATGAAGTAACTTTGAGCTTTGGAATTTTGCTAAACTTACATATCCAATAAGTGGTGTTTTTTAATATGGGGGACTTGAGTTTTTTGGGATGTTTGTTTCACAATAGTCATCTTTAGAGGCAGTGCCATATTTGTCATATTTGAGGTGCCAAAAATGCTACTTACACATGAAACATTTTAGAATTCCTCTCTTAAAATTGCCACCTCCATAAAACATCAGCCTTATTGCTTTATAGTAATACTTTGGTGTTTTTTGTTTTTATCTTTGATTGATTGATTTTAGAGAGAGCGGGAGGAAGAGGAGAGAAAGAGAGAGAGATTGATTTGTTGTTTCACTTATTTATGCATTCATTGGTTGCTTCTTGTATGTGCCCTGACCAGGGATCGAACCCACAACCTTGGCATATCAGGACGACACTAACCAACTGAGCTACCTGGCCAGGGCCATACTTTGGTTTTGATCAAAACAGTGTTAGCCATCTATCCTTTCCCACTTAATTTTTCTCTGAATGCTTTTGGGCAATTCAGGAAGAAAAAATAATTGATCTTGGAAAGGTAGATTTTAAACTCTGAAGACCCTCAAATACAAGAAAGGCTCAGAAGGCAGAGCCAGGATAGGTGTCCTCAAAGTGTTTGAATGAGGATGGCATTTGGAATATAGTTTTATGTTCACCCAAAGGAACTAGCTGCTTTGAAGGAGAGACAAACAATACTTGTTTAAGTGTATAATTTATAATGTTCTTTTTTAAAGAAAACAAACTTTTTTAAAATGTCACTTGATAGTCACATTTCATGTGTTTCTTTGATTGAGGGCAGGTAATTCCTCTGTAAAAGTTCTCTGAAGACTAATCTTTGAAACCAGTGACTTTGAAATCAATCTTTGGAACTCTGTCATTTCAGAGACCTGCGACATAATGAAATCTATGAAATTAAGGTTGACACTTTCCAGCAGTTGCTTAGCCTCCGATCTCTGTGAGTACTGCCTCCCAGCACCTTCCCTATCATGAAGCACTTCCTTTCTTTTTCGGGTCTTTTCCTAATAATTTATTTTCACTGTATATGCATATTGTTGGGCCTTCATGAATGAACTTGCTATAAAAAGACAAATATTTTGCTCATGATCATTTCCAGAAATTAATTCAAAAGTGTAAATTTGTAACCTGCTCTCTGCCAGTCAGCAGACCTGAAACTTTGATAAAGAGGAAGTTGAGTAGCTGACAAAATGTGTTTCTGTTTATGGCCTGAAATTGTCAGGGATTGTTTTGAATACAAAGATGGAATGGCCACACAATTCTTCCTGCCCATTTTTTCTTTAGTGGTTAAATAGTTTTTCTTTTCTTTTTTAATCATTTTTTATTTTTCAATTATAGTTGACATACATCATTATATTAGTTTCAGGTGTATACCCCAGTGATTAGACATTGCATAACTTACTAAATGATCATCTGATAAATCTTGCACCCGTCTCACACCATACATAGTATTACAGTATTATTGACTATATTCCCTATGCTATACTTTACTATTATTTACATGACTATTCTGTAACAACCAATTTGTACTTCTTAGTCCCTTCACCTTTTTCACCCACTCCCTGAACTCCCCTCCCATCTGGCAACCATCAAAATGTTCTGTGTATATATGAGTATGTTTGTGTTCTGTTTGTTCATTTATTTTATTTTTTTTAGATTCAATTGTTGATAGATATGTATTTATTGCCATTTTATTGTTCATGTTTTATACATTTTTTCTTCTTCTTCTTCTTAAAAAAGACCCTTTAACATTTCATGTAATACTGGTTTTGTGGTGATGAACTCCTTTAGCATTTTCTTTATATGTCCTTCGATTCCAAATGACAGCTTTGCTGGGTAGAGCAATCTTGGTTGTAGGTCCTTGCTTTTCATCAATTTGAATATTTCTTGCCAATCCTTTCTGGCCTGCAAAGTTTCTGCTAAGAAATCAGCTGACAGTCTTATGGAAGCTCCCTTGTAGGTAACTAACCGCTGGCGACTCCAGTGTGTGCCCGTGGTGTCGGCTGTTGTAGTTGAACCTTGATTGTTGTTGGTGTCACTGGAAAGGATTGACCCCCAGGCTGATCAGCTTCAAGGATCAGCTGTGACCACAGCAGAGAAGCTGTTGTCCAGGAGTCAACCTTACAGAGCAAGACTTGCTTCAGTGGGGCTTTGGTGCTCATGGAGTCCGTCCCTTGAGTGCATCACTCATGGAGGTGGTAGGGCTGTAATATGGTATGGTTTGAAGCTGTCCATTGGGTGTGCTGGCTCTGGGGCCTCCCAGGAGATGAAAGATCATCCACTCCCTGTGCCCTACTCAGGGCCACTCCACATGAACTACAAAGCAATCTGCAGATGGCTGCTACTTGTACTGGGCTTGGAGGTGCCTAGGAGTGGCCAAGCTGCAAACCAAGGCCAGATGCTGCTAGTGCTGGACCAGGGGTCACTTAGCCAGAGGTACAGGCACATGGAGGCCAGATGCTGCTTGTTTGAGAGATTTTAGTAAAGTCCGAAGCATGAGACAAGAGAGCCCATTTGTGTGGAAAAGCCACTAAAAATGTCTTGTGAGGGCCCACCAGTTGGGTGGGACAAGGTCTCCGATAATCACCAGGGAAGGTGAACATTGTGAGCCAGGCTGATGGAGACTCGGATATGGTACCCACCTGCCAGCTCCTGGGGTGGAGGGGGTCTCAGAAAGGAACAATCGGCTCTGTCAGCACTTTTGTCTGGCAGGAAGCTGGACCCCTCAGCCTTTGCCCTGATGCTGGACAATTCGTTTCCTCCCTGTAAGTTCTTAGTTTCTTTCAAACTGCTGCACCAGCACTGGAGCACAGAAGGAGCGAGTCAGAGTAAGTCTGTGTACAAACCCTTTAGGAGGAACTGCCTGGGACTTCAGCAGTCCTCTCATTCAGCCACAATCCCCACTGGTTTTCATGGCCAGAAGTCATAGGGACTTCTCTTCAGGGCTCTGGAACCCTGGCCTGGGGGGCCTGGTGTGGTTCTGGGGCCCCTCACTCCTCAGGGGGTACCTCCACAGGAGAGATATCCCTACCGATTTTAAACCACCACACGTGGGTGTGGGACCAGCCTGTTCTACATCTCTGCCCCTCCTACCATCTCAATGTGGCTTCTTCTTTAAATCCTTAGTTGTAGGATTTCCATTCAGCTCAGTTTCAGGCAGTTCTGAATGATGGTTGTTCTGTAGTTTAATTGTAATTTTGATATGGTTGTGGGAGTATTCAAGAATCACATTTACCAACACCACCATCTTGACCAGAAGTCTTAACAGCTCTTCAAAGTGTGTCTTAAAATGTTTAAGAATCACCAGGAGGTGACTTTAAAATATGCAGATTCCAGGTCCTCAACAGCCTCATGAGTTAGAATCTCTGGAGTGGGGCCTGAAAATCTACATTTTAATAAGTAGCTAAGGTTTGAGCACAACTGTCCTCAGAATGCTTCTGTTGTTCAAACAACTAAGACATATAAATATTAAATTCCATTTTATAATTGAAAGCCCCCTATATTAACCATAAATGGGGGGAAAAACTTAGTAACATTTTCTTTTTTGGTGACAGTTGTAACGTTTCCATCCTGAAACTGGATGTTAGTGTAATTTTGATGAATGATGACCATATGCAATGTTTAAACTATGGTATATTGTTAAAAACCTTTTATTTCTTAAAGTTTTTCTTAATACTTAAGAGACTATACCCTCATAAAATAAAACCATTCCTCAAAACATTTTAAATCCACCTTTAAGAATCTCCTCCCAAAAGTTTACTTTAAAAATCATCTTGATCTTAATTTAATTGTGTTGCCGCAGTTTCCTCATGTGTAATAATAAAACAAACATCATGGGCTTATTGTAAGCATTATGATATATTACATGGTCATTATTATCTGAGAGCCTGACAGACACTAAATAAATGGGAGTTGTTATTATTATTATCATTACGGAACTGAGTAGTTGATTTGTGCAGAAGCAAAAGATGGTTCTATTGGTGATCTTTTATAATTAAAATGGGCATGACAATAAATTTTGAGTAAGATAGCTATTAAAAGTGACATTTTAAACCTCTTCTCCAGCCCCCAAAGATTTGGTTTTTCTCCAAGTTTCCTGACCTTCATGAAGTCAGCTTCTGGCTGGAGGTGACTTTAAGACTTTCTATATAGCCTGGCCGGGTGTGGCTCAGTGGCTGAGCGTCGACCTAAGATCCAGGTGATCGGGGTTCAATTCCCAGTCAGGGCACATGCCCGGGTTGCTGGCTCAATCAATGACTTTCTCATCATTGATGTTTCTATCTTTCTCTCTCCCCCTCCTTTCCTCTCTCTGAAATCAACAAAGTTATATTTAAAAAAAAAAAAGACTTTCTATATAAAGTGGCATGTGCAGGAGCACTTTACATATAAGACATGCCATTGGCAGCTGGTAGTTTGTGACATATGAATATAGTGTATGTGGTGAATCTGTTCCTGAAAAGTTGGCTTACATCAATTTATGTAAATTGAGTGTTTTAAACAAAAAAGACAAGTTTTCCTTTAGAGAAATGTTATCATTAATTTATTTATTTATTTACTTTTGGTCTATTATTTTTATACTAATTCTAGCTATTTTTATGTCTACTTAAAAATAACCAAAGTTCTCATTAACTTATCTACTTATAAACCTTTAATGCTGATGACTGTATCCAAATATCATTGCAATTGTTGTCCAGTATTTTAGTTCTACTTATTGTTTCCATAAATTGACTCACTGTATTGTTTTATGCAATCATTATTTGCATAAAATATTTATGCAGATATTTAATAATGTATTTAGCATTGTTTTGGTTTATTAATTAAATAACTTATTTCTAAAATGTAAAAGAGACCACCACCCCATTTATCATCTTATCCAACTGTTCATTAATTTGGGTCTGCAAAGGCTATATAAATTCTATCTACTAAATAACGCTAAGGAGAGGGCTACCAAAGGGCAAGTCATAGTTCATCTTGATTTTTTTTTCTTTCCTGCTTTTTCAGAAAATCTATAAATATTTCAACTTGCCATTATTCATTCTCAGTGGGTCAGTTTGCTGTAGGTGCAAACATTGGATGAGTAATAAATAGGAATGTCACTTCCCTAGAAAAACTCAGAGCCAAAGTGCTCACTTTTGATTAGTACAGGTGAAGATGACAGTTGGCATCTGCAGTCTTGTAGGTTAATTTTCTTCTCAGTGGGATACAACCAGATCACAAAGAATCATTCCACTGAGTTCTTTGGATCTCAGGGAGAAAATGAGTCTCATGTCAGAAAACTTTCATGCAACTAGATCACGCTATGTTAGGCAAGTCTGCACAGAGACTGAGGGTCAGGGAAGTTTCATCCATCTCTAACTATCTCTGACTCAGTGATAGGAGCATGGCTATCACAGCCTAAGGCAGGTTCTTTTTTCTCATCTTGTTTTGTCTTGTTTTTCCCTTCCTCTCTCTCTGTTTTTCCCTTCGTGCTCATTTCCTTCTTCACTATGAGTTAATGTCTCTAATATTAGGAACTTATTTGGTCAGTGACCAACAGGAACTCAAAAGGTTATTTCTATGATCTATTGACCTTCTAGTCATGTTTTTAAATATGTTTTTATTGATTTTAGAGAGAGAGGAAAAGAGAGATAGAAACATTGATGAGAGAGAAACATCGATTGGCTGCCTCCTGCACACCCCCTACTGGGGATCAAGCCCATAACCCGGGCATGTGCCCTGACTGGGAATCGAACTGGTGACCTCTTGGTGCATGGGATGATTCTCAACCAACTGAGCCACACCGGCGGGCTATGACCTATTGTTTAAAATCAGACCTGCTTGGAGCAATTTCTAATTCTCTTGATAAAGTGGGTGGAGTTGAGGGTGTTATAATTCAGATGTATCCATTTGGGAAGGGATCGTCAGCTACATTCAGGATAGTTTATGCTTAAAGATCCATGG